CAAAGTGTAAAATTTAGCCTATATCCACTGCTTTAATATCAAATTATTTTTAAGCCTGCATATTATTAGATCCATTTATACTAAGAACAACATCATCTTTGCACTTTCTTTGCCAAGAACTGAGATCTAGAGTAGAATTTATCTGAGACAATATTTTATGTCCCTCTTGTATGTCTGAGTGTATCAATTCAAATTACACACCATGAATTTTGAACAAGAAATGATACCATCAGACATAAATTAAGGCCAACAGCCAATGCCACACATGTAACCAGTGCCACGGATGTTACAACTGGCATTCTCCAAAATGAATTTGCTGAATCTGGTTTGCCTCTTCAAGGTCTTTCCTGGAAACAACCTCTCACCAGTTTTCAGTGTGATGAAGGTATTATGTTAAACAGAAATTAAATCCAAATGCACAGTCTATCTGAAATGAGAGAGATGCTTTTCTATCTTCCCAAATCATCAAGTCTTTTCAGGAAGCACAAGAGATCCTTCATCTCTACCTGGGCTGGCATTTGATTTGGAGCCAGCTGAGCAGTGACCAAGGCTGTGCTGGGAAATGCTCAGGAGCATCTGTGAAATGAGGCAGTGGCACAGTTACAACGCTCAGTGGGCAACTGCACCACCACAAACCAAACCAACAAACCCAGGCACCTTTTTTGTTAATCCCTGCCTCAATGCCAAGGATTAAATAAAGATTTGTGCCCTGTCACCTCTGCTGGAGGAGCCAGGAGAACAGAGCAGAGCTCACATCTTTATCTCAACTATGCCTGGGCACGCAGCAATGGTTTGGGGATTTCAGTGTCAAGGGCAGCCAAGGAAGGGCAGTGACTCTGTGGGTTTGTTTCCATGGATAGCAGAGCTCCCTGGAATATCAGTGTATCACATTGTTATATTTAACAGAATATCCTTCAAATACATAATCTGTATTTTTGTATCTCCAGGGAAATCAGCATTTGCCACTCCCTACATGCCAATCTGTATTTGTGCGAGTTCAATCACACTGCACCTTTTATTTATATTTCTTTATGGTCCAATTCTGTTAAATCACTTCAGTAATATTACAACAGACAGGAAATGAAGCTGCTACTTGTGAAGAAGCAAAACTCCTACAAATAAAATGTCACAGGGCCAATCTCTCAGGGAGCACTTTAGTTTAGAATATCAGCCAAACTTCAGGAAGCAAGAGATGCCTAAACGTTGGCATCACTCCTCTGAGAAATGCCAAAATTGACTCAAAATGAAATACAARTCTTTAGCTCTCAGAGCTTAGAAATTCTAAAATAAATTCTTAACTATCTCTRAAAAGACTGGGAATCTAAGCAACTAATTACCCTCTCTAAGCTGACCTTGAAAGCAAAATGCCCAAACATTTGCTGCGTAGCCAAGTGGCATATGGATAGAGATGAAAGCCAAGGCATTTAATAAAGAGATGACATTTGTTCACACCACCCCTTTGTTAAAATCCAGATTATCCAAAACGATCATTAGGATGTTATAAAGGCCTTTTATTGCAKCTGGGAAAGCCTGGAGAGCACCAAGTCACAAGCTGGAGGAATGTGCTTTCTAATGGGTAGAATTTCATGTACTGGTGTAGGGAAAGAATCCACAGTCAGTGTAACAGAGAAGTGCACTCACCTTTTATAGAGGTGATTTCCAAGAGAAACATTTCAATAAAGAACAAAAATGCTGTAAGAGAAAGAAACCACCACCCAAACAAAGCACACAATCCTACAGCTCCAAGAGACTGCAAAGTTGAAATTGTATTTGCTTGAGAAATTTTATCTGGGGTTGCAAAACCTCTTTCAAAATTCAAAATTATCTTACTCCTTCCTTACCTTGGCTGGTCACTGAGATATATTACAAAGAAACAACTTCCATTTTCAGGTAAATTTTCCTCAATTCCCTTTGAAATTCCCTAAGTTTTCAAAACAAAGCCCCACAGCTTTCAGTATCTACCAACACCTTATTTAGCATAGCTKAAGCAGTCAGATTTTTTCCCTGTTGTACTGCTGACAACACCACCACTTATACACAAATAYAGTCTGGATGAAAAATGAGAACTTCTGATTTCAATCTGTGTAATTTGGTATTTGMAATAAAGAGTAAGAATTCTCACAGAACACCAGTTATGGTGATTTTTTTTGTGCCAGGGCAATGGCTCACTCWAAAATGAACTGAGACCTTTCATACAGGGGATTTACAGATAAAAATCTCTATCTGGTATTCCCATTTCCAGCAGRCATCCAAAACTACCCTAAAATCCTTAAAACAGTTTCTGAGTTTCTGCACTGGGATACTCTCTCTGCTGAACTGCTTGCAAACTACTCACTGTAGTCACCACATGCAACAGTTGTAGAGAAAAAAAAGATTAAATCCTTACCTAAACTGAGCTGTTCCTTTGATTTAATATTTTCTAAACTGCTTTTGAAGACAGTCAGATAAGCTGCTCTGCAGTTCATGTAAAATATGGCTTCTTCTGCATGCTGGGATTTCTTCCCTTGGGAATTTTCTGAGTGTGCAGCTTTCTGATTCCTGGGACTGCTGGCCATCCTGAAAGGAYACAATTCCAGTTAGAGTTTCTAACTATCTTAATAATGACTCTGTTTGTCCTCTGAAACACAGACCAGGCTAATTATCCAAATATCTAGATCATATCCTTTCCATCCTCTAAATCTGGGATTGGAATAATCATTGAGATCCACAAACAGAAAGAACTTGAGTCTACTTATTATTCACAATTGATCCTTCAATGGCAGCAAAAAATTTAATTTCACTGTATTTTATTTCATTTCAGACATTTGATATTACAATTATTATATATAATATAATATTATATATATTATATAATATAATATAATATATATAATATATATAATATATAATATATATAATACAATATATATTATATATATTATATATATAATATAATATATATATAATATATAATATATATAATATAATATAATATATAATATAATATAATATATATTATATAATATATAAAATAATATAAATACTATATAGTCTTGATTTTTGAAAGCATAAAAAGACATTTTTTGTGATCTGTGAAACAAGGCTTTGCTATTCATATTTTCTCTTTTCACAGTTATAACTCAACAAAGCATATGGATAATAGTAAAACTGATCAAAATTGTAACCCTTAATCCTTCAAAAATGCCAAGCTAAGCACAGAATTCTAAGTTACCTAAACATAAATAATAGAAATAAATGTGCATAACACTTCAAAAATAATTGCACATAAAACTTTGAGCAACTCAGGCCTTTTAATTCCAAGACTCACATAATTACAAATATATGGAAAAAAATAGAAATGCTTTTTTTTCTCATTTATTAAAACAATTCAAAGCAGTTACTAATGCTGTTTGCTCACCAGTGGTCAGCAAACTYCAACAGCAGCCTTCTGCTTTCACCAGGGGTGATTAAGGTTTCCAGAAGGCAATCACAGAGGGACACTAAATCCTGTTGTGCTGTTGCTATAACAGCCTCTTGTATTATTTTACCCAGTGTTGACTTCAGGAAATATATTCCAGYATAAAAAAATGGAATATCTCAAGTTCAGCAACAAAACAACGCCATGCCAGGGCCTCCCCTGCAGGACTCATTGGATTTTAACTCAGGAGGCCTCACTCACCTGCACCTTGTTGAGTTATACAGGTGTTTTACACTTGGGAAAGGCAGATAATAATTGCTTATCAAGGATGAAGTACCCAATTTGTAACACCCTGACACTTTAATATTACACAGGCACCAGAARGACCCCACAGGGACCCCCAGACACAGGCTGGCTCCTGCAAACGGGTGTCACTATAATTAAGCACCAGTGTTACACACACGGAATGGAATTGGGGGTAAAGGCAAGGAGGAAAAGAAAAATAAATGTTAATTTTCCAGTAACCAGTTTATAAAATGTGAACTCTTGTTTGTACTCATTGGAGTTCCCATTACTGAGGTATTTATGTGGGCCAGAAAGTGCTGCCGATCCATCGCTGGGAAATCCAGTGAGCAATGGTTTAGTGACAGCACTGCCAGCAGCCCCATGGCTCAGGCTGGGRCATTTTACTGGATAAATGACACTTTAGAAAAATAGACAGAGGGGAGCAATCCGGCCAGGCCTTCCAAACTAGGAGAGAKGAGGTTTAGATCAGAGAYTGGCAAGAAATTCTTCCCTGTGAGGGTGGGGAAGCCCTGGAATTGATTTCCCAGAGAAGCTGTGGCTGCCCCTGGATCCTTGGAAGTGCCCAARGCCTGGATGGACAGGGCTTGGAGCACCCTGGGATAGGRAAAGSTGTCCCTGGCTATGGCAGGRGGTRGAAGWGRATCMGTTTTAAGGCTCCTTTAAAGCCAAACCAGTGTCAGATTCTCAGCCCAGTGCACTGAGTGCCACTTCCAGTCCTTTCTTGGACACCTCCAGGGAYRRRGACYCCAAAMCTCTCTRGGCAGCCCCTACCAATGCCTGACCACCCTTTYCGTGAATRAATTCCTCCTGATGCCCAAAGTCAGACCTCCCATTCCAACACTGACCTTCATGTCCGAGGCTCATCCACACAGAACCCACATTTGCACAGGGAAGATTCGCCCTGCTCCGGCCTCGCTCCCGTGAAACGAGGGGACTTTTCCCACATGGATCTCCCTGAGGGGCGCAGGGGA